TTTGGGTCAGGTGTACTGCCTCTGCTTCCTCCTGGCTTCCCCTCCTCCCTGGCAGAGCATGAGACTGAGAAAGTCCTTGGTCGGAGTAACAACTAAAACCATTGGTGTTACCAGCGTTGTTCCCAGGCTGAAAGTCAAAAACACAGCCCTGCCCCAACTACTAAGGAGAAAAAATGACTGCTGTAGCTGAACCCAGGACACTTTTCTAAAGGCAAATTGTGCCTGACAAATTTGCTGGCCTTCTGCGATGGGGCCATGGCGTTCGTGGATAAGGGAGGAGCAACCAACTTTATCTACCTGGACTTGTGCAAGGTATTCGACACTGACCGCACAATACTCTTGTCTCTAAACTGGATAGGAATGGATTTGACCATTATGCTTCCTTATCCACTGAGACAGACCACTCACTGGATAAGGAATTGGCTGGATGGTCACTCTCAAAGAGTTGTGGTCAACGTCTCAAGGTCCAGGTGGACATCAGTGACAAGTGGTGTCCCTCAGGGATCAGCGCTGGGACTGATCCTGTTCAACATCTTTGTCAGTGACACGGACAGCGGGAATGATGCACCCTCAGCAAGTCTGCCGACACCAAGCTGTGTGGTTCGGTCAACATGCTGGAGGGAAGGGATGCCATCCAGAGGAACCCTGACACGCTTGAGAGGTGGGCAGATGCCAACCTTGTGAAGTTCAACAAGGCCGAGTGCAAGGTCCTGCATGTGCATCAGAGAAATCCCAAGCACAGCTACAGGCCAGGTGGAGAATGGATTAAGAGCAGCCCTGAGGAGAAGGACCTTATAACAGGACCTACAAGGGGACTTACAAGAAATTTGGAGAGGGATGTTTTACAAGGGGGAATAGCTTTAAGCTGACAGAGGGGGATTTATATCAGACACTAGGAAAAAACTCTTCCCTGTGAGGGTGCTGAGGTGCTGGCACAGGTTGCCCAGAGAAGCTGTGTCTGCCCCATCCCTGGCAGTGCTCAAGGCCGGGTTGGATGAGGCTTGAAGCAACCTGGTCTAGTGGGAGGAGTCCCTGCCCATGGCAGCGGGCTTGGAGGCAGATGAGCTTTAAGGTCCCTTCCAACCCAAACCATTCTTTGACGATTTTTTAATTTACTAAAATTTTACAGTTAGATTCTCAGTGAACTTGCATGTGCTTTCCAGGAAGGTATGTTCTGAAAGCTGAAGCAAAGCAACTCTTTAAAAACTAATTAAAGAGTCCCTACAAACAAAACTGTATTAGTATTCCCCATACCGCCGTCCCTCCTTCCTGAACTTACTTCTCAGCTTAAAGATGTGTATTACCTGGTGCAATTGCATAGGCATCAAAATCCTCAACTCCTTCTTCTCTCAGCAGAACTTCATCAATAATGAAGTTTCCAGTGAAACTTTTTGGTTTTGTTAAAATGCAATATGCAGCATCTGCAATGATGTCCGTTTTCCTGCATTGTTTTTCTATTCCAGATCCTCCTAGCATATCCATAGCAGCTGTATGTATGGCTAGAAAGTTTGGAGGGTAAGAAAACAAAGTTTAACAGTAACAACATGAAATTCCCACTTCTCTGTTAAGCACACAAATTTTGTTTTCCTTTCATGCAAAAGACTGTATCAAAACAAAGCTACAGAATACTACTAACCAACAAATCATTCTCTAAAAGCACTAATGAAAAATCAGAAAACTATTACAGGAAACGAAAAGAGGAATAACGAGCAAAACAATTCGTGATGTTCACATCCCTCTATCCCTTTACTAGTGAACCCCCCTGGACTTCCTCCAGGTTATTCAGGACATGAAAAACTAACAAGACAACTATTCTTCTCGAAGTGCAGGCATTGTACATCAGTGATTACAAGATCTTTGCTTTGGTGATTATCACACTGAAAATCTTGATACTTAATTTTAGCCATGTAATAAGTCCCATGAAATAACAGCTTCTCTGAGGTTAATGGCAAACCAAATAGCAAAATGTCAAGTAACTTATTCAGTATTTCACAGAAAGGCTATGTTAGGCACAAGAATACAATTCAGATCTCCTAAACTTCTGGTTGTCTCATTAACCAATTCTACTAACTTCTGCACCATTCCACTAGTCTTTATTATGCTTCCCCCAAAGGTGCTACTAAGACTGTGGCATGTTCCAGTTCAAACCTGTTATTTGCTCTTCCAGGCTGAGGTACCTGTCCCAGTTTTTTTTCATCCTGTTTCACAGAGCAGCTATTTCATTGTAGCTTTTGGCATTTGTCATGTTACTGTTTTCCCGTCACACAGTTCTGCTTCATGACTTTTTTCCCATCTGCTCTCTAAGACTCAACACTCTGCCCCCAAGTTTTGGGACAGATTTGCAAATCCTCTCCTACAACTGGGGCTGGCAGGTCCTTGGAGTAGAAGGATAAACCTGATTTCAGATCACTTCTGTCCTCCTTTCAGAGTTTCCATTCCACACAAAGTAACAGCAGCTTTGATTCAGAAATTATCCCAGCATCCCTTAAAAAGCACAGAATAGGCATTGTGCAAGACACATCCATCTGAGCTGGATCATCAATTTCCAGTGTAGGAACTGGGAAAAAGGACAGCAGTCTTCAACGCTAGCCAGGAGATTCCATCAAAATGTTTTCTAGGGAAGTGTAAGAGTGGGTAAATGTCCTTGTTGACTTACATATTTACTTTTCTGTGGTGAGGATTAGTCCCTAGTTTTCATTTACCTTTGACCAACCTCATATTTTTTTTCAAATCAACTGAACTGCCATAAATATGCACCCAAATAAAAAGCAGCAAATAGATAGACTAGGTTTCCCTGGACTGCCTTCTCATTTTTAAGGACAGGAAATAAATTTGCCTTTCTTTGATCCTCTCAAATGTGATCTGTCCTGAAAGATGGTTGTTAGGGGTTTTTTTTCAGTAATTACCAACAGTCCAGATAATACTTCTGCCTAATACTCTGATGAAATTTACCAGGCTCTGTTGACCTGAATATATTCCACTAACCTGTTCACTTTTCCTGGCCATGCTTCTGCCACTTCTCTCTTAGTGCCAACTATTATTCTTCTGAGCACAGTCAACCTATGTGCACATACTGAAGCAAAAAGGCTTTAAACTGTGAGGTACTGCCTCATAGTCTGGCTGCCCACTGTTCCACCGGTTCTATATAAAGTGCTCTGTATGAAGATAAATGGAGAATTCCTAGCATCTCATTACCAGCATCCTTTCACATGTTTCAACAATCGGATTAATCAACAAATACTGGCATACATACTAGCACTGAGGCTAATCACATTTGTATGAGATTTTAGTGGTTTTTTTAATTAAGAACTTTGCAACTGTATCTTAAAGACCATGGAAGGCTATGTCTCTATCTCTCTGGTGACCATATGAAGTAGTTAACTTTGTAATTTTTGGTAGATGAACTTTTTGAAAGCACATTTTCTTGTAGTGGCGAATTTGCACATTATTGTCCTCTTTCATACTTGAGGGCACTTCAGTTTTCACAGAGGCATCAATAATTTATGTAAATTCCAAGAGCTCATCCAATGTTTCTAAAAGTCTTAAACCAAATGGGCAAGAATGGATTCAACAAGCACAAAGCTCTGTCTGCATATCTTTGATTTTATAGAAAGCTTAATTACTTTTCAAATTACTTTGCAGCATCTCACATAGAAAAATCATTATTTAAAACCCACATTTATTAGAATATACTGTTGTCATTTGTAAACTGAATCTTCAGACACTTCCAAGCTGCATGTTCTGCAGGTTCCTGAGGGAAACAGGTATCAGCTGCATTCTATAACAACTGCCAGCTTCTGCAGTGTTAAACTCTTTCTTGTTTTAGCAGGTACACAGTGGCACTCTAATGCACAAGAGAAAGCAGCTTTTCTTTGGTTTGGGTTTCCCCTCAATAAGAACGTCAGATTTCGTAGAAGTTCCTTTAATACCAGGCTGTATCTGGGACACTGGTACTATTACTGACATTTGGAGTGCTACAGCATGTCCAAACACGGGAAAGAAATCATGTATTCAACTATGTAACATAAGACTTAATGTAGCTTCTGCCTATAAAGTTAGCCATCCTTGTGAACAATTCTTCATCATGAGTGGGTGGACAAGTTCTCCTAGGTTCTGTTTTCCCTTGCTATGGAAAAAACACAAGGCTGAATTAAACAGATGGGTGGGGGAAAAAACCTACATTGTAAAATAAAGACCTAGTATCACCAACTGGTTTCTGCAGGAAGATTGCTTCCAGCTATCAACACTTCCAGCTTTCAACACTACACTGGGACCCATAAAACCACTGAATCATTTCCACAGTAGTAGTGGATGTTTCTACAGCATATCCAGAATCAAAGAGAAGGTGTTTAAGAATCAGAAAGCTGTGAAGAGTGCAGATAATGTGCCTATACAGCTTGTAAATATGTGCATTTACAAGATACAGGTAATCTTGTAACACCTTTTTGCATTAGAAAAGAAGGCAAACTAGTAATGTTCTCTGTAGCTTGATACCACATCTCTGTCTGAATGAGATATTCTACATCAATTCCTTCTCTGTCCCTAACTCTCCTATACAATTTAAATTGCTTAATCAGTGACAAAAAACCCCCACAAAATGGTAGGTAAAAGATTACCTCTGCTAATGGAAAGCCAAATTACTCCTACATACAAGATTCTGAGGAAATATAAAACCCATTTAGCAGTGGCATTTTAGGGACAAGTCAGACGAAATGGACATGAGGTCTAGTGAGCTAAAGGCTTTAAAAACTAAGTTTCATGGCTCTATTCCAGATAACACAGATCCTGGGAAATCTCCACTGAAACTTTTCTGAGGTTTTCCTGGAGCACTCAAGACGCAAGTATGTGAAAACAAGCACAGATTTCTTCTATCTCCTTCAGAAATAGTAAAATACACCAGACCCAAAACCTGAAGGGTGAGCTTTCACGCCACTGCCAGGAAGGCAATCCAGACCCTGAAGTAATATGTACAGTTGTCTTCAGTACATCAAATACTAAGATCTTATCCTCTTCAAATTAGACAGTACAGGTTTTATGATGATATAATTATCATAAATGATATAATCGAGCATTCAAGAAGTCAATCCCTTATCAAAATATTTCTGTGGATAAAACTGATGGTGCAAGCAGGATTATGACACATCCATTTCCTCGGGCTTTTAGGGATGCAGGCATCCAGACCTATGAAAAGGGACCAAGTCTGTCAGAGATACTATCCCAAGTTCAACTGAGGATTCCCTAAAGCATTTAAGCAAAGAAACCCAGCTGATTTTATTTGAAATAATTAAGTTTTGCTCATATTCCTTACTTCAGAGGAAGCAAATCATAGAGTTGTAGGTCACGCGAGAAGTTACAAGGTGCCTGCAACTCCTAGCAGGAACACATTCAAAAGTGTCTGGGGACAAAAACTTCTCACATGGGAGCTCCAGGACCAGAAGAGGATCTTGCTGTGTACTGATTTCTTCTTCCTTGGCAATCCCAGGCACAGTTACAGGTTGAGCAGAGAAGTGATTCAGAGCAGCCCTGTGGAGAAGGACTTGGGGGTGTTGGCTGATGAGAAACTGAACATGAGCCAGCTTCAGTGTGCGCTTGCAGCCCAGAAAGCAACCGTATCCTGGGCTGCATCAAAAGCAGCGTGACCAGCAGGTCAAAGGAGGTGATCCTGCTGCTCTACTCTGCTCTTGTGAGACCCCACTTGGGGTACTGTTCACAGTTCTGGTGTCCTCAACATGAAAAGGACATGGAGCTGTTGGAGCAAGTCCAGAGGAGGGCCACGAGGATGATCAGGGGCTGGAGCACCTCCCGTATGAAGACAGGCTGAGGAAGTTGGGGCTGTTCAGCCTGGAAAAGAGAAGGCTGCGTGGAGACCTCAGAGCAGCCTTCCAGTATCTGAAGGGGGCCTACAAGGATGCTGGGGAGGGATTCTTCATTAGGGACTCTAGTGGTAGGACAAGGGGTAACGGGTTCAAACTTAAACAGGGGAAGTTCAGGTTAGATCTAAGAAAGAAGTTATTTACAGTGAGGGTGGTGAGGCACTGGAACAGGTTGCCCAAGGAAGTTGCTCCATCCCTGGCGGTGTTCAAGGCAGGTTGGACGAAGTCTTGGGCAACATAGTTTAGTGTGTGGTTGGAACTAGATGATCTTAAGGTCCTTTCCAACCCTAACTATTCTATGATTCTATTCCTTCTTCCCTCCCTCCACTAGTTAAGGGAATGAACTGCTATTGCAGTGTTTCATAGCACAGTGACTGGGTTCACACCATCAAAAGGCAGGATTACCCTTTCTTTGCTGATACTAACATTGGTATCATTTCTGTACATAGATGAATTTGAGGTGAAGAGACTGGCCTCTTTGGCAAACAGCTGACCAGATGTTTAACAGCAGCTGTGATCCTCACTGACTCATAGATAACAAACTTAAGTTAATACAACATGGGAGCACCAAGTTATTTTTCTTCCACAGAGCTCTAATTTCCTGATGCTTGCAAGCAGATGGTTCTATGGACAACATTTTGCTTGCTGCGCCAAAACTTCCAGGAACAGAATTATTTCTGCATTTACAGAGGCATATATCTTGTTAGTTCCACCTACACTCTGACAATTTAACTAGCAAGGAATTCTTAACAGTACTACATACACAGACATTTAATTCCTATGAATGAAAGCATGCTAGTACTATTGTGATTTTGCCCAAAACAAAACTGCAAATGCATGATAAAGAGCACAGAGAAGCCAAGACTATGCAGAAGCTTCAGCCAACTGAAAGATTTGAATGAGTTGCAAACTAGCATTTGGATCAAAATGGCAATGGTCTAGTGAGAACTATGAATGAAAACCAGCACATGCGTAAGGTGACAAAAAATATGTAAAATAAGTGCTTGGTCTCCTGAATCGGTTCCAGAAGTTTGAAGTATATTCAAAGTCAAATAAAACAAACTGTAAAGGACAAAATACAGAAATCCATTATTTTAGTACCATTAAAAAATAAAGTAAGAAAAAAAAAAAATCACCTGTTTTAGGCCATAAAGCATTGACAGCAACTTCTCCTCTAAATTCTTCTGCCATTCCCAAGACGCACATGGACATCCCGTATTTCGAAATGGTATAAGCTAAGACAAAAATTATAAAAAAAGAAAGTTACAGTCTATCAATGGAACTTTACTGTGAGGGGAATAAAAAAAAAAAGGAAAGAAAAAATTTTTTTTGTCATGAGGTAAATTAAGTTTTGGGGGACAAAACTTAATCCCTTCAAAAGCAAAATCTCTCCCGTCTCCCCATCACCCCAGCATACACAAACTGTAGTCTGCCAGGTTTTCAATACAAATAAAGTAAGAGCTTGGCAAAAATGACAACGGAAGCCTAGCTGTATGGTGGTTTTGTTGTGCTTTTTATACAACACACTGACAAGAATGCTCAATTTTTTACGGAATCTTAAGGCATACTAGCTGCTAACAAACAAAGTTGTATCCTATGGAAAGCAACAAGAGAAGCAAAAAAATAAATTAAAAAAAAAAATAATCTAAATCCTTGTCAATTATCCATTATGAGAAGGGAAGCCTTTTTGGGGAAAGAACTGGGACTTGCTGGAAGATTTTAACATGACAAATGTCCAAAACTGAAAGGTTGTTTAACAGTTTCAATATAAGCAACATTAATGTCAAGAAAAAATGGGGTTGCTTTCCAACCTCAAAATTAATTTCCATTTTAAAAGACAACATTCAGCTTTTTCTCCATTAAATCAAGGAAGAAGCTGAGTCAGTAAGAGAACAGATTTTGGGTTTCAATCTCTATTTGGAACAGAAAATGTTTTCCAGTTTTCAGAATTCCCATGAAAAAGTAGAGACTCTTATCTTGAAAATATTCTTGAAAACATAAAGTACGTATTAGGCCATGAAACCTGCTAATCGTCTTCCCATAAAAGAATATCTTCACGTTAGATACAAAATACTCTGGGGAGCCATTAAGGCCAGTCTGTACATAGTGCTAAAAATACAAGAGCTGAAATTCTGGGCTGGAACCCCTGCACATTTCACCAGGTATTTATATGGGTCTCAAAAAAGTAACAACGTTTCCAAAAGCTACTCACCACAATGATTTTTGAACCACAAGGGATTCAGATTCATAGGTGGGCTGAGGTTCAGGATATGGGGGTTTGTACCCTTTCTCAAGTGGGGAAGGCATGTTTTAGACCTGAAAGGTAGATTTAGACAAATCAGTCATCTCTTCTTTTATGGAACACCTATAAATACAGTAAGACCATACAAGTAGACCAGTATTTTAATGTTCATGAAAGTCCAATACTAAGCTGAGGCCCTAACTGCATCACTTAGTTAACTGATATAAACAAACAAACAAGATCTGTCCTAGCTTATTTATCTCAGCCCTAGTGCTCATTCCTG